CACAGATACAACCCATCTCCTTTGATATAGATGCATACTTGGTTTAGATTTGATGTAAGTCTTGCGAGTACTTTGGATGAGTACACACGGTTGCTTTGCTACCTCTTTTTCCCCTATACCCGGTTGTTGCGACCAGATGACGGATCCCAGGAGCCAGACGATGCCACTGAAGACTACTACTCCCCGGAGGATGCCTACTACTACGTGAAGACCGCAGACGACTAGGAGTAGTTAGGAGGCTCCCAGGCAGGGGGCCTTGCATTTTCGATCGTTGTTGTTTTGTGCTAGCCTTCTTAAGGCACACTTGTCTAACTTATGTCTGTACTCAGATATTGTTGCTTCCGCTGACTCTTGTGTATTCGAGCTTATGTATTCGAGCCTTCGAGGCCCCTGGCTTGTAATATAAAGCTTGTATTATTTTAATCTGTGTCTAGAGTTGTGTTGTGATATCTTCCCGTGAGTCCTTGATCTTGATCGTACACATTTGCGTGTATGATTAGTGTACGATTGAATCGAGGGCGTCACAACTGATTCCGAAGTTTCCGAAGTGACAGAGGCATCTTTCCTTTTTCAACTATGTCCCAAATAGTTCTAATTCTAATTATGTTATATCCTGCATACCGATTATTCTTTGTACTGTGGCTTTCAGGAATTATCCTTTGATGGAACAAGTGACAAATGCTGGCAGATGAGGACGAAGATTTAGCACAAACGTCCGGCATGGAAGGGCCACAAACAGGGAAGCCTATCCGACTACATAACAAACCCAAGAAGGCACCAGACTACGTGGTGGCTCCAGAAGGCATGGACAAGTCCTTCTATGCCTTGCTTTTGCTACATTTATTTTCTTCATTATTAATAAATGTTTTGACTTACATCTTGATAGATTATGCCTGCACCGGCGATGATTGGTCCGTGATTGAAAATATAATGACTGAACCAAGCGATAACAGAAATTTAGTGAGCATCAACGACTCATATCTCAGAAAATTACAATTAGTACACCTTTTAACCGAAGGAGAATTTTCTGGCAACGAAGTAAGTATACGTAGCTTTATGATAAGAGGATGTTATTAACATGAGTTCCTGTTATCTCCTAACCAAGGTGGGCACTTGATATTGTAGATCATAGACGCATACATACATTGCATAAGTGCTAAAGAGCATCTACATATGAGGTCAGGTGGACGTGTGTTCTTAGAGAATGCATGCATCTCTAAGATGATAAAGGAATTTAGCTCTATACGGGATGACGCACCAAGATGGGTGTTACAGAGAGCTAAAACTTATTTGGAACATGATATGGTGAGTCTCAGTTCCGTACATATTACTATGAATTCAATAGAGGACAAATATTTGTATACATGAGACCTAAACTAACAAAAAACCTATTTTTAGATATTCGTTCCAGTTAACATTGAAGAGTTTCATTGGTACCTAGCAGTTATAAATAGCGGGAAGCAATGTATCCAGGTGCTCGACTCGGTAGGCCCAGGAATGAACCGCAAAGACCTCACTGCTATGGTTAGTTATTAGTCCCACTGCACCATCTTTTGATAAGACAATTTTCTGTTATTCTTCAGTTGTGATGCTAATACTTTGTCATTTGTTCATGCAACAACTAAAAGGACTGGAAAATGTATTCCAATATGCTAAGGTTCAAATGGAACTAAAATCTGATAAGTGGAAAGACTTAAACATCAGTGCATGGCCAAGGGAAGATTGTATTAAGAGTAGACTGCATATAGATGGGTATACCTTCTAACTCAAAGCAATCGACATTATGTGTTTTTTGTATGTCCCCATTAGTTGCATCACAAAATAAATTTCTCCATAATAAGAAAAGTATACAGGCTGAAAGGATACGGACTGCAGAATAAAATGAGGCTATGCACCGATTTGACGGGGACAAGCAGGGGTCGGAGAGACTAACCTGGACCCGGACAAGCGATGAGAAGCATAGGGACGGTCTCGAGCAGCAGCACAGCACGCAGTGGTCTTCGTGGTCATCCATGGAAGGAAGGAACTGCAGATCGCGAGCTCCTGCTCTGGACCGAATCGAACAGCCAAATAAAGTTATGGTTGGAGAGCAGAGCATCCGGATCGAGGGGATAAGAGTTGAAACCGGACCTTGCTGGCGTCCCGAGCAGGGGGGAAGGGAAGTTCATGGCGCGCGGGAGAAAGTGGAGACACTCATGGCGGCGACGGCGAGTGCGTCAGGAGGAGGGAGGACCCCGGCGTCGCCGGCGCGCATGCCAAGCTCGAGCGCCTCCTCGAGTACCTCGGTGACCTTATACGAAGAAGGGGTGGGGCAGATCAAGGGCATGTGTGCCCGCCGGCAGTGTTGACGAAGGGGAGGGGCGGGGCACATCAAGGGCCTGCGTGCCCGCCGGCAGTGGTGACGAAGGGAAGGGGCGGGGCGCATCAGGGGCCTCCGCGGCGGCTGGCAGTGGCGACGAAGGGAAGGGGTAGGGCGCATCAGGGGCCTCCGCGGCGGCTGGCAGTGGTGACGAAGGGGAGGGGCGGCCACCACATATCACCGGCTGTGGATGGGGAATCTAGCGTGTGCCGGTGAAGGAGGGAGGGAGGGAGGGAGGGAAGAATGGGGAATCTGGCATGTGCCTGTGAAGGAGGACGGAGTGAGGGGGCGGTGCTAACTGAGTTTTTTATTTAATACTCTACTACTTTACTAATTTCCACTGTTAAGCACGTTTCAAAGAGAGATTTTGAGTGAGTGCGGGGTTGTCCAAACCAAAATATATCAACTTCTTACATTATTTTTCATACATTCCGAAGAGGGATTGTGAGTGAGGGCGGGATTTTCTTTATCATCACTTCTTTGTTACAGTCATGATCATTTGATGATTTTAAAGTCTTCTTATATAAATATCTATAAAATTGATAAAAAAGTATTGAATATATTTAAATTTTGTAATCATGCAGGTCATCTTGTGGTTTGTGGATGGTAAATTTTATGGAGTACTTTACAGGAGAAATTTTGTCTGACTCTCCTACACAGGTATTTTTCGATGTGTGTCATTATACTTACATTCTATGGTGTATCACTATTTAACTATGAGTTCTATTTTAATAGGATCATATCACAGATTTTAGAGCGAAACTAGCCGTCATTTTAGTGGACTCGGAATTGAATGATGATAATATAAGAAATCGAGGCATTGAAGATGACGAAAACAACACAGATCCCACAAATTGTATGATTCTGGAAACACCCCCTGAGAACCTGAAACCATCGAATACATCGTCAGGAGTTGAGCTCATCTCGCAATCATTTATCCTTTCGCCCTCTCTCACTCCAACAAATGATGACTTAATAGATGAACTTTGTTTGTTCATCGGTATGGTTGATGATGTCGCTCTACTAGAGTAAGCCATATGTTTTTAGTCCATTTTGTATTTTAATAAATTACTCTGATTTTATTATAATTGACAGAGTTTCAATTTTGCAGAAGCGAATGAGTGAAAAGCTCTGATCCTTATCCCATTAGTTTGAATTTGAGACAAATAAAAATATATTAAATAACAATGAATGCATGGATGTTGATTGCTTCAATATGGTTGTACGGATACTAGCGTGCCACGAAGTCTAGCTTTTCAGAGACATTCCATGTCACTACATGGATCTAAATTTTTGTGTAAGTCGTTATAATCCTGTATTACATTTTGCCTCATGGAACTAATATTTTCTTTTTCTTATTTTAGTCCATGTCCTACTATGCACGAGACTCACGTCATCGTGAAAATATGGACATTGCTATGTTGAAATGGATGTTTGATAGCTGGCCAGACAGTAATGAGTATCATATTTCACATTGTGATACGGTAAGTTTTAAAATTTTAATTTATAACAATGGTTTGTCATGCCTTAACTAATGTTTTCTAAATTTTTAAACATATGCATCGTTGCAGATTTTATTGCCATGGGATATTTGTGGGATATTTCTATTGTTTGTTTTTGATCAAAATAAAAAAGTGGTCTCAATTAGGGATCTGATACCAATACCTATTTTGGGAAAAATTGTACTTAAAACTGTGGTCAACAACCTAAACCGTGCGCTCCAAGTTGCAAACCCTGCATTCAAAGACGACATTTCTAAATGGGAATGCAAAGTTCATGTTGTTCCAACAAACTCACATGGGTATGAATCTTTTCAATGCATTACAAGATTAACTGATTTATTCAATAGTCAATGTAATATTTTTATAAATGCAATGCCTTGTCGGGTTATTTGGTGTTTAATTTCATGCACTCATTGTGCGATGGACAGCTATATTTTCCCATACCCCAGGTTAGTATTTACACCATGCTTATTTGTATACACATTGCACATTATTTTGTTATAACAATGTTGCATAATGCATATGTAGGATGATTTTGAACTAAGAAAGCAATTTTTGGTGCATATTTTAAAGTATGAAGAGAATGAAGCTCAAAACAATATCCCATCAATTGAACGAAGCATCATAGATCGCATCAATAGATGGACCTTCAAGAGATGCATAGTTGTGGTTTCTAAAATATCTTTTTGTAACAAATTATAATACAATTATTATGTCATCGTGCATTTTATGTGAAGACATGTTTCTGGATTATGTGTTACACGCACGCTCATATCGTTGGCATAAGACACCATGATAAAGACAGTTGGCTTGGTAATACAAACTCACTAACATAAAAAATAGATTCATAATAAATGTTTTTATGCGTTGGATCACAAAATATGTCACTCTTTTGAAAATATATTTTAATATTATATTATATCAACTTATTCTGTTTGAGACATGCGTTGCACGTGCATGCTTACTAGTGGATGAAAAAAAGGGCGTCATCGGTTCAGGAACCAACCTTCACCGAGATTACATAGGGCCAACATCACGAACACAAGATACCATTGTAGGAAAATATGAAAATCAGGTATGAGAAATGAAATTACTTTTGTTTTTATTCAGCTGCAACAATTAAAGTAAACGTGTAAAAACTATAAAGATGATACATGGTCAATCAATTCATTGATGGCCAGTAGAGAAGACCCACCACTCTCAAAGCAGGACGCTACTTTCTTCTTAAGCTCTCCCGCTCTCTTTCTCATCGCCTCCCCTTCGCTCCCCTTCATAAGCTTCAGAATGGCCTCCCCAATTTTGTTTCTCTCCAGCTCACCTTCGAGCTCAAAGCCTATGCCCCACACCGCATCCACGTATCTCGCGTTCATCATCTGGTCCGCGAACTGAGGCCTACAGATCATGGGGCAACCCTCGGCTACACTCTCGAGCGTCGAGTTCCACCCGTTGTGGGTCCAAAACCCGCCCACCGCACGGTGGGCCAGCACCTCCTGCTGTGGGGCCCACGGGGTCACCCTACCCCTGCCCATCACCATATCGTCGAACCCTTTCGGTAGACATGGTCCGTCCGATCCCGGCACGAGGTCTTGCCGAACGACCCATAGGAACGGCTGGCCGCTGTTGGCCAACCCCCACGCCACCTCCGAGAGCTCACCGGAGTCCATGCACGCCAGGCTCCCAACGCTGACGTACAATACCGACCCCGTGATCTGCGTGTCCAGCCACTCGATGCAGGTGTGATCCTCGTGCGGAAGCACATTGCTGCTTCTCCCTGCTGTGTCCTCGGTCTTGGAGGAGAGCCTGTGGAGAGGGCCGGTCGCGAGCACCATGGCGATGCCTATCTCGTCGCGGATCTTCTCAAGCTCGTCTGTTTCTAGTGCCTCGAATGTGTTGAGCACAAGGGCGGAGTAGCTCCTTGCTGCATGGGTTGCTTTGGCCAGAAATTTGGATAACATGTCATGGTCGGCCCTGCTCGAGAGGAAGAGGTCCCTCACGCGCAGCGGGGGAAGCTCCTTCACTGGCATGTCGAGTTGCGATTCTGAAACAAACATGTACGTGGGTAAATTAAACTAGCAGTGCTATTCGTGTGTACTAGTTTTACCAAAACTTGATGATATTGAGATGGTTGCAATCCAAATAAAAAGGACACCGATAACTGCCACACGTGTGGTGGGAGCAACACCCGCCCACACACCGTGTGTGGTGTGAGCAGAAGACAGCCCACACGTGCCATGTGTGGACGAATATTAGAACCGCCCACACGTGTGGCAGGAGGAACACCCTACCACACACCCTGTATCAACATACATGTTTCGTGCGGGATCGAACTCAGACCGAATGATTTCCTGTTGGCACAACATGACGCTGGCAACGAAAAAAGCACGTACAGCCCAGTTACCTATTGCTTCACTAAAACAAGCCAAAAAACAGCACCAAGAACATGTGTTTATAAAAATTAAAAATAATACAGTTGCCGTATAGTACATACGTGCCAACAAAAACAATTTGACTTGTGTCAGATTTTTTTTTGCCATGGCAACAAGTTTGCAAAGTGTACATGGAAAAGTATTGTACAAAATGATATATATATACATATATATGTAATGCCATGGCGCAACAAGTTTGATAGAGTTGCTGTATACGAATGATTTCTATTAAAATTGCTGTTATTGATCTGGTTATGAAAATTATGGTCTAAAAGTATTGGAATTACCATGGTCTAAGCAGTAAACAATGCCAACGCAAAAACTGCATATTGATTATACCCAAGGAAAAAAATTGGTTGAAAATTTGCCATGACATCTCTACTGCTATATGATGGCAAATTGTATGAATTTGCCATGGAAAATATTGTTGTTTCCCAAGCTAAAAACATGGCAAGTTTTGCAGCGGGGGTGCATATCAACTTGCCATCACATAAAAATTCAAACAAATGCCATGTTTTCAAAAAACAAAACAAAAAAATCATGGTCGTCATCATGGAGGACGACCTCCTGGTCGGCATCTTAGTCGACGTCTAGGCCGGGGGAGGAGTTACATTGCCATTGTCAAATGGAAAGTAGATTTTGCCGTGTTGCTAAAGGAAAAGAACATTGCCATGCTTGAACTTAATTTGCCATGGGGCAAATAAAATTGCGATGGTATCTATTTTTGAAACATGAGTAAATCTAATGTTGCCATGGTCCCGTTAAATTTGCCATGGTCCCTTCAAAGAAGAAACTTTGCCATGTTGCAAAAAAGGAAAGAAAATTTACCATGGTCCTTAAAATTGGAAATTGCCATGCTCCGAAAATTGCATTTGCCATGATACACACACTAAGTTTGCCATGGTCCTATTCGAAAACAAAATTTGCAAGCTTGTAAAAGAAGTAAGAAAATCTGCCATGCTCCATAAACTACCGTTGCCATGAAAGATGCACTGAGATTGCCATGGTCCCATTGAAAACAGAAAATTTGCCATGTTGCAATAAAGAAAGAAAATTTGTCATGGTTCATATAATTAAAAATTTGCCATGCCCCGTAAACTACATTTGCCATGGTCCCATTCAAAAAGAAAATTTGCCGTGTTGCAAAGAAGGACGAAAAATTGCCACGCTCCACGAACTGCCATGAAAGAAAATTTGCCATGGTCCCGTTCAAAAAAATAGAAAATTTGTATGAGGCATAGACTAAAAAATGCCATGATCCATAAACTATAAGTCCCATGATGCATTCACTAAATTTTCCATGGTCCCGTTCAAAAAGAAAAATGCCATGCTGCAAAAAAAAAGAGAAGACATTTGCCATGGTCCATATAATAAAATTGCCATGTTCCATAAACTATATTTGCCACGATCTATTAAAGTAAAATCTGTGGTCCAAACAAAAGTGATTTTTGGACATGTTGCAAATAAAAGAAATTGCCATGCTCCGTAAAGTACAGTTGCCCATGCTCCATGAAAGTAAATTGCCATGGTCAAAAAATATGAAGCAATTTTTCCATGTTAAAAAGAAAGAGAAAATTGCCATGGCAAAAGCATGTTCAAATTTGCCATGGTATTTACCAAAACTTGCCATATTTTATGTGATTAAAATTGCCATGTATGAGAAAACAACACAAAAAATGATTAAATTTGCCATGGCAAAACTGCATATTCAGATTTGTCATGGCAAAAACTGCCATACTTCACATTTGCCATGGCAAAATGCATATTCAAATTTGCCATGGCAGAAAAAAATAAATATTTCAAATTTGCCATGGCAAAAAAATGCATATTTTAAATTTTCCATGGCAAATGTATGATCAAATTTGCCATGGCAAAAATGCATGTTCAAATTTGCCATGGTATTTTACCAATATTTGCCATCTTTTAGTATGATTAAATTGTTCTGTAGGTGAAACAACGCAAAAAATGATCAAATTTGCCATGGAAAAAATGCATAATCAAAAATTGTAGTTGGATTTTTTTTCAAATTTACCATGGTTTCATAGAATAATTTGCCACGAATATGAAATGATAAGGAAAATGATGAAAAATTGCCATGGCAAATGTATGTTCAAAATTTGCCATGGATTTTTTTTATCGAAGCCATGGCAACTACTCGTAACATATTATGCCCATGGCAACAAATTTTTCATGGCAACTCCACCACATAACTTCATGATCCCCTTGGCTTCCTCTCACATGATGAAGTTGCTACAGAAAAAAGCAAGGCTAGGAGGAAGCCAGGGAAATCTCTATTGACCAATGCACATCGTTCCATTCCCCCTATCATCTCCATGAGTTAGCTACTAGCACACATTAGTCAGCAACAACGCTACAGAACATGGACCAAAATAGCAGTTAGCAGCAACAGTTAGCAAAATGCAGAGCGCCAAATTTTGGGGGCAGTGCGACACTGATGAAGCAGAGCATCCAGCAGCTAGCCCCCCGGATGTATCTAGCAGGGGATGGACTCACCATGGTGGGCAGTGGCGCCAGCTGGAGGAGTGGGAGGAGGTTGCTCTGGGATTGCGACGAGCAATACCAAGAGCGCGGCGGTAGCACTGGCAGCTCGGGCTCACGGCAGGAGGCGATAGTTGTCGGGGGCACTGGCCGCTGCAGGGGGTGGAGCCGAGCCCAAATCGCCTGCGTAGCAGAAACGTCGTCGGACCGTGCAACCCCAAGCGCGGCGGCCTTCTTGTCCTCGCCGGAATCGAAGCCGCCGCCAAAACTGCTCGCGGCACCATCCTTCTGCTGTGCGCATGCACACCTCCGCCGCCGCCGCCACGCACGGAGACGAAGGGAGAGCGCCGCCGCCGCGCACGGAGACGAAGGGAGAGCGCCGCCGCCGCACTCCTCCATGTCAGGCCGTCATGGGAGGCCGCAGCCGTCGAAGCAGGGGCCTCCGTCGATGCGGGGTGGGTGGAGGGGAGCTCCTCGGCGCAAGGCTTCCGCGGGAGCAGCGGAGCTCCTCGTCGCGTAGCTGCACTCCTCCATGCCCACCGCTGTTGACGCGGAGGCCGCCGTCGATGCGGGGGGAAGGCTCCGCCACAGCCGCTCTAGCGAGTGGAGTGGGGGTGGGGGCCTAAGGCGAGAGGATAAGGTGCGCTGGTCCTTCGGCAGATGCATGAAGATTCAACATCTAAGCGTTCGGGCTGAATTGTGAACTGCCGCACGCGTTCGGGCGAGGAGTGTTTCGGCCACACAACACCGTTTGCTTACGTGGCTTTTGACCCCGATTGCAATTGCTATAAAATTCGTGCAGATGGATTGAACGGCATCGAATGCGTGTGGGCCGGTTTCTAAATGCCACACGTGTGGGCGTTAACATTTCCGAATAAAAATATAATATACTCCCTCCATCTTTCAAAAGAAAGCCTTTAAATTTTATCTCAAGTATCTATATCTAATATAGTAATTATTAATATATTTTTTACAAACTTTGATCAAACATTACACCGTTTAACTCGAGATAAAACTTATAACCATTCTTTTTGGAGATGAAAGAGTAGTACATACTTCCTCTGCTCCTAGATATTAAACGTTTTGACAGTTCAGTTTAAACCGTCATTTAGAACCTTTTTTAAGAACTATTACGTACAAGTAGGATTCCTATTCCGATATTAAGACAGCTGTTTGGCAGCAAGGATGCACATCAATGTTCGGTCAAGTGTCTCATTCTAGTTAACTAGAAAGAGACCAATTTTTCTAAGCTACAGTACAGTTAGCAGTGTTGGAAAAGGAAATCTACTATTCTACAAAAAATAAATTCTTACTTTGTCGTACATGCTGCGGAAGGAAGAACACTAGCGTGATAGAAGAGTGTGGGGATCCTAATTAGGACATCTTCAACGGTAACCCGCAAGTTTTCTCCCACATCCGTCCGCGGACAAGGGGGACCAGTCCGTGGACACGGATACTAAAAGCCACCATACAACGCCGCCCGCATACAATACTATCATCTTTTTTTTTTCAAACATTACCTATTCTTCGTGTTTCTTGCAAAGAACATCAACTAGCGGTGTAGGCATTTGGGAGTTCCGACGAAATTTATGAATTTTGAGGGTGAGTGAAATATTTGTGTTTTGTTCAAAAAATATCAGCATTTAGCATTGTTCTTATAAAAGATTATAAAAGAAGGAGGAATCCACCATTGTTACAAAGCTCGTTCGGGCAGACTAGTGGTACTGTGGTAGGCTAGACTACTCTCTCTTGCTTCAGCTGTATTTCAGTTCTACGGAACGAAGCCCAATTTAGATTACATGCAAAATAACAATTTATCAAATTATTCAAATTAAAATATAGCTGAATTTAAATAAAATATTCATTGATTTGCCCAAAATAAATTTGAAAATTAAAAATTTTCTATGGTTTCGAGGGTGATAAAAAGAGCACGATTGATAACAGTTATGATGGGTGGGTCCGATGATTGAAAAACCTCACAAAATCTTAAAATTCACATATTGATCGTAAAAAATTCATAAATTTTTTATGGCTCCATTTATCATATATTTAAGCATTCACAAAAAAATTAATTATTGAGCGAATAATTTTTTTTCTATGTTTGTTATTAAGCATTCGGAAGGAATACTCTACCATAAATAAAGGGAGACTAGCCACGAGAATTGGCAAAACACTCTTTTGATCTTGAGCTCACATCCTTCCTGGTGAACGATAAAATTCAATAAAATAGTAAAATAATTAAAAACTTTTTTTCTTGTAAACATTGATGAATGTTTCAGGTTTCAAGTGCGTGCAAAATTTTGTGATGAAACGAACTGGTGACGTCCGGGCAAAAATACAAAATCGACTCTTCAAAAGGCTTCCAACAATAACCTGTTGAAGCATTTTTTTTCTTTTTGGTCAGACCTCTATGAATGATATTTATCACAAAATTTTGTCCGCAGGTGAATAATTTATTAATGTTTATCACATTTTTTTACTTTTTAATTTACTGTTCACCAAGGTACGTGTGAATTGGGATAAAAAACTCCATGTCCATAGAATTGTGTTTAGTACAGACTAGGATTAACTGACCTTCGGGGGGCAGATAGCCGTTTTGGTGGAGCATGGGATAGGCAAGGATGCAGTTGAAGCAGGCTGCGCTGCCGGTCCGGAGCGCTATCGTCGGCAGCCCGAGCTCCTCGGCCGCCTTCTGCGCGCCGAAGAGGCTGGAGTCGACGAATAGGCACGCGGCGCGGGGCATCCGCTCGCCTGCGAGCCCCAACTCCGCCGCGAGGACGTCGCGGAAAGCCACGGACGCCTCCATGGTTGTGTTCATGGCGACGATCATAGAGACGACGTTCCCTGACGCGACGACGTCAGCGGGGACGCCGTCGGGCACGGCGACGAAACCAAACTCCGGGCGGAGCGCGGGGTCCAGCGTGTTGCGGAACCCGGTGTAGTGGAGGATGGTGACGGCCAGGCCGCGGCCGTGGAGCACGTCGGCGAGCTGCAGCATCGGGTTGATGTGGCCCTGGAATGGCAGCGGGAACATCAGTACTCTGCGTGCGCGCGCATGCGGCTGCCGGCCGTTCCCGCCACCATTTGATGCATCTTGGGCGGTACTTGTTGTGCTCATTGCTTTGGGTCAATCTCAGCTCGTGGCCAACGGTTCTATCTTGGTCTTTAGCAAGCGCCGGGTACCCTCATTTTCTCTTCTCTTCTCTTCTCTATCTTCTTAGTTCTTATATAGGAGTATCTATACAGAAAGAATGCAGTTTTTCTTGATGCAAAACACATGATATTCCATTAATCGGTGGACACGAAAGAATCGCAGGCCGCTGGATGGTTAGACAGCCACACAGTATGGTCATCAGCGAGCTCCAATCATGCTGTATAGGTGGGACGGGGTATTGCTCTGAGAAAAAGATGGGACGAGATGTACGGAGGCCCGCGTCTATGTGCAACATGTGCCGCATAATATAAAGGGAAAAGATTCCTCGGCTGGCTCATAATCATGGTACGCTCCGTCGCCTTCGTTGCGGGTCACGCGTCCTTCTATAGGACCCAGCACCACACTGATCGCAACAACCACGTTTGGTGTTCCTAAAAAGATCTACACCGCATCCGTCTCTGTTAGCAGCCATTTCTCACCCACTGTATTACTCTCTCTCTCTCAGATACAACTCAATTTGTTCAGATTCAGCTACAGACTGGAAAGAAGGAAAGAAGGGACAAATAGATGCCGTGCCGTGCCTTTGCCTTATCCTTTTCTTTTACAGTTTTGCTAGAACTTATTTAGATGAGATTTAGTTTGGTCTCATTCACCTTTTATATCCATTGAATGTGATGCTATAAGATGCGTGTGTGGTGACGTGGATTATATCCGTTCTTGTTTTTCAGATGAATGAGACCGAACTACGTCTCATCTAGTGAGTTTTAGCTACTCCCTTTCTTTTATCCATGCCCGGATGGTGAAGAATCTGATTGCCCTTGCTTAAGTAGAGGTGGTCCACTCGGGGCCCACGTAGCATCGGTTCGGCTGAGCGATTCTACGTTGACAGCTCGGGGCGCGGTCTTCTCCTTGCGACGTCACTTGATCTGAGGTGGCAGCCATGGCAGCTGATTTGACTGCCATGGCAGTGTTCCTGTTGTGATTTAGCATGATCAGCCAACGGACGGTAACCTATGTTGCAAAAAAAAATCCACAACACGTCATGTGTTGTAATGATGGATGGTGACGCGTGCCGCTTGATGCACGGAATTTGACTGCTCGCAGCCCGGCCAATCTTTTAACAAGATCAGCCAATGGACACATAGCATGCCCGTATAAATGGAATGCCCACATGGGACCACATATTTTTTGACGGATAAGTTGGCATCCCACATCCCACATAATTTCATGTAAATGGTACTCTTTTATACTAAAAAAAAGTAATGATGATGGCCACTTAAAGTGGACGAGACTTGCTTGCTCCCTCAGCGTGCGTCCATCCGTGCTTCCGCATACGTGGCATGATTTGATTGAAAAAAATAAGGTCTGGCCCCACCTATTAAAATCAGGGGGGAGATGATTAGATTAGAAAGAAAAAAGAGAAAAATACAGCCGTAAGATGAAGTGGAAACATGGATGGGAGCATGACGAGGGAGCAGGCAAGCCGGATCCACTTAAAGTAACATCTATTTTTACGCGGGAAATAACGTACTATTGATGTATCTTAGTTCTTACCGAGCAATTGGGTATAACTTAAATCATCAATCTTAGGTTTACAACTTGTTGCTGCGTCTAAAAATCAGTTCATCTCAATACACACACGAAGTACAGTCCACTACTTGATTCCTAGCTCTTTCATGTTTATGACTAAGCACATTTTATACACAAATCCACTGTGAGCTCGAATCTTGAGGTCAGTGGAACCCACTGATGCACAAATTTATGAACTACGAAAAAACATTTTTAAAGTGTGTGATATAAAGAAAGCCTCTAAAATCAGGAACTATGATTGGATTGATGATATTGATACAATCAGATAGAGAAGTCAATTATGATGCCATCTTTTCATAGCAAGAAAAATAAAAAATTTACCTTGCTATTTTAGGGACATACTTGTTCAGATCTTGAAGCTTGCTTCTTCAGGTCAAGTGAAGACAAGCTGGTAATACAAAAAAGGGTACGATGATAGTTGTTGTTTTTTGGTCATCATCACACGAGATTTGGATCATCATCATTCCCAACAAGTAGTATAATGTACACATTTTTGAACCATAACAATTGAGAATATGTGATTGTCACATGAAAATAAAAATAATAACAGTGCATATATTTCCAATGGGGGTAGAATACTACTGTTCTCTATAGGAATAAGAAATTAAATGAGAACAACACAAAGAAATCCATCTACCACTAGTAGAAAAATGGCCATTTGTCCCGGTTCATAAGGCCCATCTGTTCCGGTTGGGGAACCGGGACTAAAGGGTCTTTACTAATGCCCTAGGCCTTTAGTCCTGGTTCTTACACGAACCGGGACACATGGGCCTCCACGTGGCCGGTGCTGCGAGCCCAGGCAGGAGGCCCTTTAGTCCCGGTTGGTGGCACCAACAAGGACCAATAGGCATCCACGCGTCAGCTGTTCACGGGCCAGGGTTTTTTGTTTTTTTCTGAAAGAGGGTGGATTTGGGGGTTTTGTATGGTTAATTAAGGTGTTTCATATATTGTGTTAGGTAGCTAATTAATTAATAGAGAGAAGTGTCCTCTCTTATCTCTGTGCTTGGTCGACGCTACGTACTATACGTATAGAGAGGCCCTCAACACGCTAGCTAGTAAGAAAATGAAGGAAACCATTGAGTACAGAAGTTCGTCATGCATACCGAGAGAAGTAATCGACCTCTCCTTCTCCAAGAGATTGGTCGAACAACAAGTTTTTGTATATCTATCCGACGCTACTGGCTACATATATACAATATAAGATCTCTTACAATATAATCCCCTAATTATATATGAACTCCGGGTCCACATGGTATTCTCCGGCTTTATTGATGACGTGGTCAAGAAAGAATCCCGCTAATTTCTCTTGAATTGCTTTCATGTGAACTTCTGGTAGGAGTTCATTCCGCATCTCGCACGTCTAATTTGAAGAAGGGGGTTAATACATATATATGAATGAAACTCAACAGAAATGATGGTGTAATAAAATTAAATTGTGAATATTATTGCTTACGCACATCAAATTGTCTTTTAGAGTAGCCCCACTTATTTTTGCAAGTCGTGTTGTAGATGAACTCGCACACGTAGTATCCACAGTAATCATTCCCTTGTTCCTGCCACAAGCACTTTACGAGAAATAGAGGTCAATCAAACTGATAATGAAGCATTATAAATGGCATTGATGAAAGTAGCTAGAATCAACGGGAGATGCGTGGAACTAGCTAGCTAGTAGTACTTACTTTCGGGTATGTATATCGCAGCTCCTTCGGCAGTCCCAGAGCTTCTTCGGTGAACTTTTTCCAAACCCTGCAAGACAAAGAAAATAATTATTACTTGAGATATCAGGAAATGAATAAAAAGTTGTCGATATGGTGCGATAATGATCGATTGAACTTACTTGTTGAGAATTTTAGTCATGTCCGCATAGGTCTCGGGATCTTTTCGTCTCAAGTCTAAGACGGTTACTAGTCCCTGCTCAAGCTTAATCTCCAGGAGAATATAGTGGAAGTTGCGCACGCATGCATAACTCATCAATTACATTACTATAACCTTGCTCGAGTAATAAGGGAAACCGAATATGCACAAGACAGTAACACTCACTTGAAGTTGTAAGGAAAGAGTATTCTATCTTTTTTTTTGATTTATTATCAATGATTTGAGAAAGTTGGCCTCAGCATCTTCGACGTTCTTTTTAACCTGAAATTCATCTATGAGATTTGTGTTATGAACCCAATATCATACATTTCCGCTTTTCTGCAATCGACGATTTTCAATCTGCATAATATAGTGAGGATAATCATATATACATGCAATGAAAGAGCTGAGCTATATATAGAGACTTAATGACAGAAGTAGTACTTACAGACAGGAGCAAGTGACCGTTAATTTATTGAGGGCCTTTTGATTGAACCACTGGAAGAACTCCTCAAATGGAACAGTCAACAAATCAATTCCAACGCGGTCGTGCTCCTCTTTAACTCTCAGATACAAAGTATTCGCCCCCCAGACTCTCTGTAGGTTTTCATGTACCAATCATGGAATCTTCGCATCATCGTTGTTATAGATTTTTCATCTTTGACAAGAGGCTTCCCGTAATGGTATTGGTGTTCTTCCACCTCCAAGAAATCATAATGTACATCGTCGGGCAGGTAATCTCCAAGATTACTATAACCGGGCACCATCCTTGGATCATTACACTAGTGCAGAACCGGGCAATAGCACCGGTCCGGTTCGTAAGGCCCTTTAGTGCCGGTTTGGTAACCGGCGCTAAAATATAGGCACTAAAGCCCCCCCTAGTATCGGTTCAGCAGGAACCGGTGCTAAAGGGCAACCACGTGGCACGAGCCAGCTTCGGGGGCAGGGAGCCCTTTAGTACCGGTTGGTGTCACCAACCGGTATTAAAATGTTGGGGGGTTTTGGGTTTATGATTTCTTTTTCATTTAATTTTATGTTTTCCATTTAATTCTTTTCCGTTTGCTGGTATTTTACGATAATACATATTATACACGTTATGCATATATATAAATAGAATTTCT